TCTTTGTTCAGATGAGGGGTCTGGGGGGGGGGGGGGAGGGATTATTATCTGATCTGGCACTCTGCCCTGTCTCACTGGCGCCGAGAATCGCGCACCCAGAGTGGGAGCCCCCCCCCCGACCGGCCCACGCCCCTTGAGGAAGGGGTGCCTCACCCAGGGCTCCTGCTCCTTGGGGCCATGCCCAGGAGAAAAGGAGGTGCCGCGAGACGGCGGCGAAGGAATCCAGCTCACAAATATGGGTTATTGGTGAACGACACACTTCGATCCCCAGACCGTGATCCTCACCCTCGCGGGGCACAGGGGGAGGGGGGCGGGCGAGAAAGCCAGTCGCCCTCTCCTGCGCAGGGGCCGACCTCCACGCGAAGTGGGCACGCCCTTGGCCAGGGGGGCCGACTCGGGAGCGGCGCAATCGTCCCCAAAGGCATTCCCCCCCTCCCCCCCTGCCCTCCGCTGCCCCTCGTCCCGGGCGGCCTCTTGGTGGCTGCCTTGTCGCGTTGGACGAGCCCTACACCCCTCGTTGACTGGATCAGCAGGGGGCGTGCGGGATCGGGCGAGTGCACGCGGCACTGGTACCATTGCTGGGTCTCGTTGGCTGTTGGAATCCCCGACGGATGCCAGAGAAATGTGTCCGGAACCCCGGGGGGGGGAGGAGGGGCAACAGGCTGGCCCGAGACCCCTCTGTGCCCTGGCCGCTTCGGGTGGGCAGGCCGTCTCCCTCCTGCCGGCCGCCACACGCGGCTGGGCTGCCTCTCCCAGAGATCCACCAGAGAAGAATCCCCGCCGGCCCGACGACCTCCGAGCGAGAGAGGGGGGCACGCGGGGGCCACAAGCGCAAGGGGCACCTCTCGGCCCGGGGACGGGTCCGTTCCCAGCAGAGCTCAGGTGAATGCGCTGCGGTTCCGAACCCGTCTGGACTCCTGGGGGGGGGGGGCCTGTGTCCGGGGTGGTAACACTTCCATCGCCCTGGCGGCTCGGTTGGCCCTTCTGGAGTTCGCTCGCCCCGGGCGGAGCAGCCGCCGGGCCCCTTTCGGGTCTCGCCCCGGGCGGCTATTGGTCAAGTGTGGGACGTGAAGTGGCGGAGTCGGCCCTGTCGACCGCCGTGAGCCACCCCCCAGCTAAAGGACCCTTGTCCAGGCAACTTCGTTCGGGTGAATATGCGCGTGTATTGGGTGCATTATAATTTCGCGAAATACAATATGAAGGCCTTGCTTCCCACAGCAGGAATAAAACCCAAGTCTGGCGGCCGACTGACCATAGAGTGTGCATCTCGTGACACGCACATGACCCCGATGGCATACCGTGACACCGCCCCAGCTATCCATGCGGCGCCAGCCGATGCGGGTCTCAGCGCTCCATGTCCTCTCCCCCCCCCCCTGGGTGTTGGTCCTGTCCGTGTCTCGCTTTCTTGTTCTCTCTCTCTCTCTCTCTCTCTCTCTCTCTCTCTCCCGTTCTCAGCCCCGCACTGTCGTTCGGGTTCTCCTGTACAAAGGTCCTCCCTTGAGCTCGGCTGGTCTTGTCGTGTCTTCTCGTCCTTACCTCTGGAAGGCCCAGACTGCGAATGTGTGTGTGTGTGTGTGTGTGTGTGTGTGTGTGTGGGGTAGCTTTTAATCCCATCATCATCGGCCCTCCTCCTCCAGGTTGTGATCCAACCATCCCCCTATCTACCCTCCACTTTCCTCCTTCCCCCCCCCCCTCCCCCCGCCCCCACTTCGCACAACCTTCTTGTCCTATCTCCTGCCCGATTCGCACCGATCTCGACTCGCCCCGCCGCCTGCCTGCCTGATCCTCGCCTACACTCCAGATCTCACACGAGGATGAACAACCGCGGCCTTTCCCGCCGCCGCCAGCGTCATGAGGCCCGTAAAACTCAGGTGCGCAAGATGCCCCTCACATCTTGGATATCCAATCCATGCATTTTACTTCCTTCCTCACGCACACGCACACGCTCACTCCTCACCGCCTTCCCCACACCATCCCCTTCCCTTCTCGCCATCTCTCGGCCATGGGTCGGATCCTCAGGGCCCCGGCTTCCATGCTGAGAGTGGCGCGGCCCACCTCTCTTCTAGCCTGTCGGCCAAGAAGGCCAAGAAAACCTCGAAAAAGCGTGAGCCCTCTCTGGCCGAGCTCAAGCAGCGCGTGCGTTGCCGATGATGGCCATCCGTCGCTCACCCTCTTCGCTGCCTGCTCCTGGGCCTCGCCGACTGACCAACCTACCGTCATATCTCATTGCGCGATCTCCACCACCCTACAGATGCTGAATGCCTTCGAGAATGACGATTACGATGACGATGGTTCCCTGCTGGCCGCCGATGTGGATGATGGTGCCGGCGGCGGCCCGGATGTTGATGATCGGGGCTTCGTCAAGATCGATCTCGGCAAGCTCGGCTTCAACCCGATGGGCGGTAACCCGGACGACGGTGCGCCCCCGAAAGTCACTTCCCTTTTCCGGGTCTGATGCACGCACGCTCCCCCCCCCCCCCCCCCCCATCTTTGACTGACCCCGGTCTCCCCTCCCCCCCCCACGCAGATGAGGAGATTGACGAGGATGAGGCCTTCGGCGAGAGTGACGAGGACACCTACGGGGACATCCTGAACACCATCGCCGAGCGTACCAAGAACTTCAGTCGTCTCAACGCGTCCGATCGGAAGCGCCGCCACGTGGCCGACGACGATGAGGACGACGAGGAGGACGATTCCGACGAGGACCCATCCATGGCCGGATACTACAGCGGCGATGATGAGGACGAGTATGCCGGCACCGACAGCCTGGCGGACATGCTGATGGCCGGAGTTGGCGCCAGCGACGATGACTACCCCGGCATTCAGACGGACTCCGACTCCGAGGAGGAGCTGTCCTTCGCCGGGGAGGATGCCAGTGACTCGGATGCCGAGGATGCCGAGGATGCGGCCTTCCTGGCGGAGTTTACTGCTCGGCATCGTCAGGCCGAGGGCTCTGCCGCGCGCGATGCCGAGGTGAGCCGCGTCCAGGCTGTCAAGCTGGTCCAGTCGATTGATGGCGCACAGCCGGAACAGACCGAGGCGTATGCCGAGTCGGAGATGAACCTCCAGCCGTCGGCTGGCCTGAGCCTGCGTGACCTGATTTCCTCGGCTTCGCGTCTGGATACCACGGCCTCCGGCATGAAGGGACAGGTATGCACAGTCCGCCCCCCCCCCCCCCCCCCATATATCTCCTTCTTCCCTCTCGGCTCCTCGATCTCCCCTCCCCCCCTTCACAACATGGCTCTGTTGTAGCCTGTCCTCAGCCTCCGCTAACACTGTAGTTCCCATGGCTGCTCTCCCCATGCATGTAGCTCAAGTCCCTGAAGAAGATCCGCGACGCGGAGCTGGCGCCCGTGCACTCGGTCGAGGCCGAGCGTCTGACGCGCGAGGCGGCCTACAACATGGCCAAGGATAGTGTCACCGAGTGGCAGCCCTTCGTGGCCAGGCTCAACAGTATGGAGTTCGTGTCATTCCCCCTGATGGACACGAGTGTCTCCAACCAGCGACTTAATTCCATCAACGAGCTGGCCTCCACGCATGAGGTATGTTCCGCCTCTCCCTTTGCCTGTTCCCCGCCCCTCGCTCTTTGGCACATGTGGCATAATGTGTTTGGCCATGTTTTTACTCCTGCGCGCCTGCACACGACTTCTCCCTCACACTTGCATGTTCTCCTTTGCGCTGCTCCCACTGCTGCTTCTCCCCGGCCCCCAGTCTGAGACCGCCCTTGAAAAGGACATCCAAGTCCTGCTGGAGACGGCGGGACTGCAGAATGAGGCGTCGATCGCCGCGCTGGAGGAGGACGACGACCAGATGAAGGCCCTGACGGCCGAGGAGATGGCCGAGCGCCGGGCGCAGCTGGCCCGCATGCGCCACCTGCTGCTGTCCAATGAGCTGAAGCAGGCTCGCCAGGCAAAGATCAAGAGCAAGGCCTTCCGCCGGGTGAAGAAGCGCGAGCGCGAGCGCAAGGAACTGTCCATCGACGAGATGGCGGCCGTGGATCCGCAGGCCGCGCGCGAGCGCCTCGAGCGCATGGAGATGCAGCGCCTGGAGGAGCGCATGACCCAGCGCCACCGCGGCGGGGGCAAGTGGTCGCGCGAGATGGCCAAGCGCGGGGTTCGGCCGAATGAGCTTCTTCGCGGGGCCATGGACGAGCAGTCGCGCATCTCCGAGGAGCTGCGCACCAAGAGGACCCTGTCGCTGGATGCGGGTCTCGGTGGTGGGAGCTATTCGGATGAGGATGACGGTGCCCTTTCCGATGGCCTGGATGTCGTGCGCCCGGGCCATGGGGCCGGTCTGCGGGCGGTCATTGCCGGCGCCACGCTGGATCCTGGCGCTGCCATTGGCCAGTCGTCGGAGGCGTCGGCCTCTCGGAGCCTGGCCGCGGCGCTCTCCGGGCGCGGATCGGCCGTGGCTGCCGGTGGTGCCTCTCTCGATGACCATGGTGATGAGTTCCTGTTGGATATGGATGTTACCGGAGGCGGCAACGGTGGCGGCGCCGAGCCGCAGGCGAACCCCTTCGCCATCGCCCTGGACCAGAAGGACCTGGTGGAGCGGGCGTTCGAGGGGGACGACGTCTTCGAGGCGGACTTCCAGAAGGAGAAGGATCATGATATGGAGCTGAATCTGCCGGATTTGCCGCCGGCCGATGTTCCAGGCTGGGTATGTTTGTTCTCTGCTCGTCCCTATTGCCCGTGTCGCATGTGGATCTGTGTTTGGCCGTGTGTCTTCTAACATGTTCTTCTGTCTCTCTCTCTCTCTCTCTCTCTCTTTCTCTTTCTCTCTCTTTCTCTTTCTCTCTCTTTCTCTTTCTCTCTCTTTCTCTTTCTCTTTCTCTCTCTCTCTCTCTTTTCCAATCGGGTGTTTCCTCCTCCCCTCCCACGCCCCCCTGGCCGTCATCATTAGGGCTCGTGGGGTGGTGAAGGTGCCCGGCCAAGCCAGGCCGCCCAGCGGCGCGAGGCCAAGCGCCAGCGCACCATCGAGAAGATCAAGTCCGCCGCGCGTGCCGGGAGGTCGGACGCCAATCTGGCACACGTCATCATCAACGACCGGGTCAACAAGAAGCAGAGCAAGCTGCATGCGGACATTCTGCCGCATGGATTCTCCACGCGCAGTCAGTATGACAACCTGATCAGCCGCCCGGTGGGTGCGGCCTTCAACACGCAGACCGCCGCCGAGCGGGCCACCCGGCCGCGCGTCATGACCAAGGCTGGTCACATCATCGAGGCTCCGCGCTCAGCCAAGATGACCCTTCCGGGTCGGACGATCTCCGGCAAGGAGTAAGGCGAACGAGAAGGTGCACACAGGCCTCCCCCCCCCAAGTTGGCAGAAGGTGGGTGGACAGGAGGGAGGCGCAGGAAGGGGCGGGGGGGGGGGGGGGGGGGGGGGCGAGGAGCCGGAGCGCGCCAGGGCTGGACGAGTGTGGCCCGTGCGTGTCGCTCTCTGGCTCTATCTCACCCTCGATCTCTTCCGCCTCCTCCTCTTTCCCCTCTCCGCTAGCCAGCAGCTTTACTCCCGGGGCCTGGCCGTGATCTCCGCTGCCCGTGCGGGCATGCGCGCCGATCACACACACACACACACACACACGCCATTGCCTCCCTGCCTTGCTCCCCCCCCTCTTTCTTCCTCCCCTCTCCGATGTCCGGCCACGAGGCTGTGCGCGTGGGGCCCCAAGGGGAACCGATCTGCCTCTCCTCCGTTGCGCGAGAAAAAGCCCCCCCAACAAAATAGCAACAAGCAACAAACAAACTCCAAAATACACATAGCTAGACTCTCGGTCGTCGTTCTTTCCTCCGTCCGCCCCCCCCCCCCCACTGCTGGGCGGTTTCCCTTGCGGGCTCTGCAGCCCCCGGGATCTGCCATCGCAGAAGAGGAATGTCATTATCGGATGGGAAATTTCACCACGGGCCGAGTCATCCGGAAACTTCGAGAGAAGTGCTCCACTCGGGTGGTTTAGGATGCACCATGGGCAAAATGGAGTTCGTGACATCATGGCGCGCACGCGTACGTGCAGCACCGCGCGGCTGCTTCACCTTGGGCTGTGGCGCGTAGGCCTGTTTGTTGCCTGTGGCTCCGTCGTCGTTGCCCCGGTTCCTGCTCCGTGGACACCTGGCCTGCGCACACCCCACAGCGACTTTGTCGTCAGGCAGGCGGGGGGGGGGGGGGGGGGGGGGGTGTCTAATGGATGAGATGATCATGGGCGCAATGGTTGCCGGGAGGCGGGGGGAGGAGGTTTCCCGGGACCTGGGCCTGGACTAGCCACCAGCCGACGGACGTGACCCGTGGCGAGAGGGGCCGCACTTCCCGGGGAGAGCGCTGGGGGGCGGTCGGCTGGGGATCCCCACAGTTGTGGTGACCTTAGACGGGGGCGTCCAGGAGGGAGTCGCGCCCCTATCCCCGGGGGGGGGGGAGGGGGGCGGGGGGGGGCGGGCAGTCTAAGTGTGGGCTCTGATGAGTGACTCTTTCGCCACCGGTTTGTCGGGCCTCGCCGGTGCGTCGTGCGGCGGCCGTGGGTTGGTCTTCTCGCACGACGACACCGGGGCCCTTTCTCGCCGGGCGCCGGTGCCTCCGGGGCCCTTGGCCGCGGTCCCCGAAGCCACTGACGCAGAAGGTTCGAGTCGAAAAAAACGTGTTGCTGGCCAGTTGGCACTTGGGCGAGATTTCCCGGGCCGCGCCGGCGCTGGTGCCTGCCCTGCGCCTCGGGCGGCGCGCCTCCTGCATGTGGGGAGAGGAGGTCGGGAAGGAGAGGGCAAGGTTCCGCGCGGGTGCCTACGAGGGGGGGCAAGGCGACATTTCGGGCCGCGTGGGGCGCTGGACACAGCTCTTTGGCCCCTTTGGGGTAGGCGCCACGCCTGTCGCCTGGTTTTCCCCCCTCCGGGGGGGAGGGGCCGGCGAGGGGGCCGGCGAGGGGGGGGGGGGAGGGGGCGGGAGAGGGGCCGCTCCGTGAGCCCTCTGGAAACCAAGCGCAAAGGGGGGGCCCGAAGCCCTGACCCACACGCGCACGGCCAGTCTTGCGCGGCACCCCTGTGCCGAGTGCTTGTCTTTTTGTGCGTCTCTCCCCGCGGCCCCTGCAGGACCGGCGCGGGCGAGTTTGCACACGCGTGCT